CCCTCCATCCATCCATCCATTCATCCATCCATCCATCTATCCCTCCATCCATCCATCCATTCATCCATCCATCTATTCCCTCCATCCATCCATCCATCCATACATACATACATACATACATACATACATACATCTATCTATCCCTCCATCATCCATCCATCAACCCATTACCTTTACCCAGTACTTCCTTTTTGGGTCACAGGGGTCACAGGGGTCACTGGCGCCCCTGTCCAGAAGTCACTGTGCGAGAGGCAGAGACACCCTGGACAGGTCTCCAGTCCATCACAAAGACCCATGGAGACAAACAACCATTCTCTCTCTCACCTAGGGACAATTTAGAGTTACCAGTCAGTCTAACATGCATGTTTTTGGTCTGTGGGAGGAAACTGGAGTACCCGGAGAAAACCCAGACAGCATGGAGAGAACATGAAAACTCCACCCAGAAAGGCCCCTGGACCGGGATTTGAACCAGGGCAACTGGGTCGCTGAGAGTTGGCAGCTCTACCAACTGCCCCATCGTGCTGCCCTTAGAATGAATAATTTAATGATAATAATAATAATAAATATTAATAATAACAATATTAATAATAATTATTAAATTTTAGTTAGTATTAAAAAATTGAATTGAAAGTGCACGCCCCCACCCACACTGAAAAAGGTGCACCCTCCCACAAGACATGATATTTCTTCATTTCTTATCAGGAAACGTGTTGGGGCCCCCCAGCATGTTGTTTGCCCCGGGCACCAAAATCGTTAAGGCCGCCCCTGCTCGCAGCCCAGGAGGGCGGCTTTAACTTTAAACTTTAAACTTGACTCTGTGGAGCCTTTATTGACCGAACCGGACCCGGACCATGTTCATGAGCGCACGGGTCGGGCTCGCGCTGGTTTCTGGTGTCTCCTCTCGGCTGAAGCTGGATCATGGACTTCCAGAACCTGTGCAGTTCTGAGGAGACCTTCCTGCAGATCTGCGGTCAGTACGGGTACGGGGGGGACCTCCAGGAGGTCGTGGAGCGGGAGTTTCCTCGGATGAAAGGTCAGGAGGAGCTCAGAGCCGGAGGTTCGTCGCTTCCTCCTGTTTTGTTTACTGTTTTTGTTTGTTGTTGACAGGAACAACATATCTGGATCACGCAGCGGCCACCCTGTACCCGGAGTCTCTGCTCCGGGACTATTTCCGGGACATTTCCACCAACCTGTACGGTGAGGAGCACGACGACCTGTAACATGATCGCCCGCCGCAGAGGGACACCTCTGTCACTGTCCGTGTTCGTGTCTGTTAGCAAAATATCTCACGAACCGCTGGACGAAGTGTAACGAAACCTTCAGGATGACGTCACTGCATGACGTCTACAGCTGATTATTTTCAAGATGAGCCAAAAGTAACCACGTGTTAAACTGCCAGGTGAAACGTCACTGAGGCTAAAGCTAAACGTAGTGACACGAGCTAAACTCTAAACAGTAACAGACTGTAGCTAGAAGCTAAACCTAGCATGAGGTTATAGCTTAAAGGGGAAAACCACAAGCTAAAATCTGAATGTTACATTAGCTAGAAGCTAAATGTAGCAAAGGGCTATTTAGAAGCAGCCAAACAATAGCTAAATGTCACAAGTACCAAAGGCTATCTAAAAATTATAAGTTGCATAAGGCTAGCTAAAAGGAGCAAAACACAAACTAAAAATTGAATGTAACTAAATAGTAGCTAAAAGTAGCAAAACTCAGAGAAATACAGAAAACAAGCTAAAAGCTAAATTTAACTAAACAGTAGCTAGAAGCTAAATTTAGTGAAAAGTTCTTTAAAAACCGTCAAACAGTAGCTAAATGGCATGTGGCAAATGCTATCCAAAAACTAAATGGAGCAAAACACAAGCTAAAAGCTAAATTTAACTAAACAGTAGCTAGATGCTAAAAGTAACAAGACAATAGCTACAAGATACAAGTACTAGCCTAAAGTTAAAAGTAGCTAGAAAGAGCAGCAGAATGAACTTAGAGACCACTACCATGAGCCTTCTTCAGTCTGTTTTACTTATTATGAGCTGGAGTTTGGTGTGGTAGTAGCTGAGAGTCATCCTAAGCACATACTCTGAGGGCTAACAGCCGCACGTGTTGCTTGCTGGATGTTTGTGTGGATCACATCATGCGTTCACTGTTACTCCGGTTGTTCTCGTGCCTGCAGGGAACCCTCACAGCCGCCACGCCAGCAGCAGTCTGACCCACGACACGGTGGAGCGGGTCAGAGACAGGTGACACGCGCTCAGCTCCTCCGAGTCTGCGCCTCGCTCCATTGAACCCGTCCAAACCGCACGTTGTCTTTCAGGGTGCTGCAGCATTTCAACGCCTCCTCCGAGGAGTACGCCGTGATCTTCACCTCGGGTTGCACCGCCGCCCTCAAGTTGGTGGCAGAGAGCTTTCCGTGGCGCCGGCGGACCGAGAGCGAGGCCGGGAGTTGCTTCAGCTTCCTCACCGACAGCCACACCTCTGTGGTGGGCATGAGAGGCCTGACCTCTGCCCTGGGGGTGTCCGCCCTCCCCGTCCCCCCGCAGGAGCTGAGGAGCAGCACGAAGGGCGGCGGGCTTCAGGCGGGTGAGGACGTTTGCCAGACGCCTCACCTCTTCTGTTACCCGGCGCAGAGCAACTTTTCTGGCAGGAAGTATCCTCTGAGCCACGTGAAAGGCATCCAGGAGAGGAGCCTCTACCCCGCCTGTGACCTCCGGGGTCGCTGGTTCGTGCTGCTCGACGCCGCCTCCTACGTCGGCTGCTCCCCTCTGAACCTCCAGAGCTGCCCCGCTGACTTCGTCTCCATCTCCTTCTACAAGATGTTTGGCTTCCCCACAGGTCTGGGGGCTCTGCTGGTCCGTAACGACGCAGCAGGAATGCTGAGGAAGTCCTACTTTGGAGGCGGCACAGCAGCAGCCTACCTTCCAGGAGAAGACTTTTATGTGCAGGCGGAGCACGTTTCTGACAGGTAATGGGTTGTTTGAGTCAAACTCCCGTGTTTTCTTTATTCTGAAACGTTTGCTCCCATTTCCATGACAAAGGTTTGAAGACGGCACCGTCTCCTTCTTGGACATAATAGCTTTAAATCACGGGTTTGAGTCTCTGCACAGGATCACAGGTACTGCATACTGATGATGCAATCATCGGGTTCTTTCCTAACGAGAGCTCGTTTTAGAGCAACACCAGAAGCTTTATTGTCTTTATCCGCTGCTTCCTGCAGGGAACATGCACAACATCCAGCAGCACACGTTCGGCTTGGCTCGCTACACTTACATGCTGCTCTCAAGCCTTTGCCATGGCAACGGGAGCCCGGCGGCGCAGATTTACACCGAAGGCCAGTTTGAGAGTCCAGTCACTCAGGGAGCCATCCTGAACTTCAACCTCCTGGATTCCAGTGGGCAGATAATTGGCTTTTCACAGGTGAATTTTAATCAACACTGTCACTTTCTGAGTCGTAACGGCTTAATGTCTGCACCGCGCTCCTCTGCCGTCCTCAGGTAGAAAGAATGGCCGCTTTGTTCAACGTTCACGTCCGAACCGGTTGCTTCTGCAACACCGGCGCCTGTCAGGACTTCCTGGGAATCAGCAACGAGCAGATGAAGAAGAACCTGCAGGTGAGACAAACCAGAGGGAACGCTGAATGGCGGCTGAAAGCTGCTGCAGAAGGTGAAACGGAGTCCAAGCTAAAAGAAGCGCTACACAAGTATCAAAAGTCTAGCTAAAAGCTAAAAATAGCTAAATGACAACTAATGTCTGAGTAGCTAAATTCCAGCTAAAAGAAGTCAATGGCTAGCTAAATGTATTAAAAGTCTTGCTAGAAATTAAATGTAGTAAAAGGTTAGTTAAAAACTAAAAGTAGCTAAATTCTAACTAATAGCTAATAGACTAAAAGATGAACACAAAGATAAATATCATAAATCTTTTGGCTAAAAGTACCAAAATGCTAGGTAAAATATCAAAAGGCTAGCTAGAAGCTAAAAGTAGCAAAATTATAGCCAAAAATATTAATGTCTCAGTTTAAAATAATTGTAGCCAAAGGCTAGTTAAGCTAAAAGTGATCAAATGCTAACTAATCATTAGAAGTAGCAAAAAATACAAGCTTATAGATAAATATCAAAAAGCTAAAAGTACCAAAATGTTAGGTAAAATATCAAAAGGCTAACTAGAAGCTAAAAGTAGCAAAATTCTAGCTAAATGTAGCAGAATGGAAGCTAAAAGCTAAAAATAACTAAATGCTAACTAATATCTGAGTTGCAAAATGCTAGCTAAAAGTAGTCAAAGGCTTGCTAAACGTTAAATGTAGTAAAAGGCTAGATAAAAACTAAAAGTAGCTAAATGTTATCTAAAAGCTAAATGACAGAAAGATTAACATAAATATAAAGGTCTCTCTTGTAAATGAGTCCCCGAGGCTCAATGAAATTAACCTGTAGAAATAGAGGTTGAATGAAAAATACCATAAATATTTTGGCTTAAAGTACCAAAATGCTAGCTAAAATATCAAAAGGCTAGCTAGAAGCTCAAAGTAGCTAAATGCTAGCTAAAAATATTAGTGCCTTGCTAGAAATTAATTGTAGCCAAAGACTAGTTAAAAGCTAAAAGTGATAAAATGCTAACTAATCGTTAGAAGTAGCAAATACAAGCTAAAAGATAAATATCAAAAATCTAAAGGCTAAACAGCAAATACTAGGCAAAAATATCAAAAGGCTAACTAGAAGCTAAAAGTAGCAAAGTGCTAGCCAAAGGTAGCAGAATGGGAGCTAAAAGCTAAAAGGAACAAAACTTACCTAAAAGCAATTGTAGCAAAACATCTAATAGCTAAAAATAACTAAATGCTAACTAATGTTTGAGTAACAAAACATAAGCTAAAAGTATCAAAAAACCTGCTAGGAGTTAAATGTAGCAAAAGGCTAGTTAAAAGATAAATTTTACTAAAATGCTAGCTAATATCTACAATATCAAAAGACAAGAAAAAAGTAAAAACTAAAACTTTTAGGTACGAGTAGCAAAAATGTTAAAGTATAAGAAGGTTGCGTAAAGGGCAAGCTGGAAGCTAAAAGTAGCAGAACAGAGGCTTAAGTCCAAAGGGAACAGAACAAGAGCTAAAAGTAGCAAAATACTAGTTAAATGCTAGAAGCACCAACATGCTAGCTAAAAATATCAAACTAAAAGAAGCTAAATGTTAGCTAAAGTAACTGAATGGTAGCTAAAAACTAAAAGTTGCATCAAAGACAAAAACAGAAGCAGCAGCTGAAGCAGATTTCAGAGCAAACAAAGATTTAGAAGAAGCTGAAGATAGCTCCGTGTGTCTCTGTCCGTGCAATATTTGAATAAAGTTAAATATTTTGAAAAGTACAAACATCACAGCAGGCGTCTCCTAAATGAGCCGAACGTTTTGATTTATGAACGGCTACACCAGCACCAAGTAGAAATAGTTTTTACTAGAAAAAAAACATTCAAAATATAAAAAAACATTAAATCAAGAGATGCTGACTCAGCATTCAGACGAGGAATGCATATCACCCGCCACCTTTCAGGTGTTTTAGACCGAGATCGTCTGGAGCAATAGAGTTGTAGCCGAACGGTTGAAACTCAAACGATCCTTCAGAGTGTTGTAAAGGCCCTTCAGCTACTACCACACCAAACTTTAGCTGTGGCATTTCACCAGATCCACTTCATTTCTACCTTTTTCACAACAAACGTGTAAAAACAATCCCTTTTATTTTACTCTTCAAGGCGGGTCACGTCTGTGGAGACAGCGTGGACCTGGTGGCCGGCCGGCCGACTGGATCTGTTCGAGTGTCCTTCGGCTACATGTCCACATTTGAGGACTGTCAAAAGTTCCTGAACTTCGTTGTTGAGTGCTTCGTGGAGAAACCGGCCCTGGCGGACCCCATCAGACTCCAGGAGCTTCGAGCAGGCGGCACAAAGCGATCGCCCTCGGAGAAAATCCTCGACGGCAGAAACCACGAAGCAGCGGAGACGAAATCCACCGAAGGACCCCGGGAAGGACTGGGACGAAGACACCTAAAAGTCCGCGGGGACGCTCTCACGCTGACCAACATCTACATCTATCCCGTCAAATCTTGTGCTGCGTTCGAGGTTTGAGCACGGCCAGCAGCCCGACCCGTCTCATTGCGCTGGTTCTGACTGTGCTGGTGTCCACGCAGGTCCAGGAGTGGCCCGTGGGCCGGCTGGGCCTGCTGTACGACCGAGTCTGGATGGTGGTGAACGGACACGGCGTGTGCCTGAGCCAGAAGAGGGAGCCTCGGCTGTGCCTGATCCGGCCTGGAGTCCACCTGGCCTCCAACAGACTGTTCCTGCGAGCCTCGGGTCCGAGAGCCTCCGCGTGAAGAGCACGCCGCTTCACGAGAAACGTCCCCGCCCGGTCTGTCCTCTGAAGCCCTAAAGTCTTCTGTCCTGTGTTTGTCCTGCAGGGATGGACGCCGTCTCGGTTCCTCTGGAATGCGACGCTCAGCCGGCGGCGTCTCGGGCGTGTCGGAGTAAAGTCTGCGGCGACAGGTCTGAAAGCAGCGACACCAATCCTGCGCTCTGCCGCAGCTTTTCTCTCGATTCCTGCGCCGCTGTTTTTACGCTGTCCTGAAAGAAACCGTCCCTGTCCTCAGGGTGGACACGTTGGACTGTGGGGACGAGGCGGCGTCCTGGCTCTCGGAGTTTCTCGGACAGACGTGCCGCCTGATAAGACAACGACCCGATTTCACCCGTGGAACGAAGAGGAGGCCTGACGAAGGTATCCGGTAAAGACCTGACCGGCTTTGCTTGTCTTGAACACTGTTAGCAAAATATCTCATGAATCACTTGAAGATTCTAATGAAACCTTGAGGAAATATCTGTCAGGTTTACAGTTAGAACTGTTAAAGCAATTCAAGATGGCCGCCATAGCCAGCTGATTTTAAAACACACGGTTGGCTGTAACTCAAATGATTTCAGATACTGAGCTCAGACCTGGTGTGGTAGTAGCTGATCCTCATCCCTAACACATACACTGAGCGCTGACAGGACGCTTCATTAAATCTTTGGCATCATCACTGTTTGTCTGTTAGCAAAATATCTTCTGGACCACTAGATCAGGGCTATTCAACTGACGGCCCGGGGGCCAAATCAGGTCCACGGGTGAACTCAGTTCGGCCCCTCGATGGGTTCATTTTTAAATAAAACCAGATTTTACTGATTGATGTTTAAATGAACGTTATTATGAATTATATGAAGTTAAATATTAGAATAATTTGTGATGGATCCAGTTGGACCGGCTGTCCGTTCAACTTGTTTTGTCCCGTTACGGACGCCTTCTCAACGAGTAAACAACGGGCGGGGCCAGAGCAAGGACGCGGTGGACTCAGACGGGCCGCGCGTCGACGAGTTCTACAAGCAAAACAAACAAAGCATGCATCAGGAAAACAAACAAACATTTTCTGATCCTGATTCGACTTTCAGTGTGAACGACTCACTCACATGAATCGAATCACTTCACGGAGTGACTCAGATTGACCCGAGTCATAAAGTGAACCTCTCACACTGATTCACGTTTAGAGTCAGCTTGATTCAAGATGGCCGCCACAGCCATCACTTTAGATGGTTACTCTTCGTTTTTTATTTTGTCCTTCAGAGTCTTTCTTTCCTCGTGACGGAATCATAAAATAACAGTAACATTTATTCTGTCCATTCTCAGCCAGCAGCTGTTTACCGGTTCTGTTCAGAAACACGGTGGGGAGTGGTGGTGCAGAGGTTAGAGAAGATGGGCCTGTGATCAGAAAGTCACAGGTTCAACTCCCGGTACCGTCAACATCAAGATGTGCGTGGAAAAGGTGAAACACCCACACCTGCCTCCACCCTCATCTGCCCCACTCTGGACCCTTGAGCAAGGCCCTCAACCCCCACCCTGAACCCCCACCCTGAACCCCCACCCTCAACCCCCACCCTCTGCTCACAGAAACAGGTCTCTAGTGAAAATGAGCTCTCGTGACTCAATGAGACTACCTGGATAAAGAGGGTAAATAAAAAAAAAAAGAAACATTTTCTGACATCATGACACAATTTTTATATTCTCAGTTTAATATCCAAAAAATTATAATATTTTTGTCACGATTTATTTGGATTAAAATTAAAAACACACCCAGGGAATAAAAACATTTTGTGCTGCCTTTTCTCGGCGTCTGTGACTGAATTTCTGATGTTTTCATTTCAGATTTTCGGACGTGCCGAGGTCTGCCCGAACTCTAAATGAGATTGTTTTCTTCAAATTAAACCAATCTTTGGGCTGACGCGGAGCTCTTTTCTCTCCTTTGTTAGCTGCCGCGGCCTCCCCCTTCCTGTCCCTGGTGAACGAGGCTCAGTATCTGTTGATCAGCCGCGGCAGCGTGGAGCTCCTCCGCAGCCTGATGAGCAGCAGGTCTGAACACGAGGCCTCGCTTTCGCACCGCGCCGCCTCGTTCATGCAGCAAAGTAACGTGTAATTTCACCCCCACCCCCCAGGCAGAACAGCAGCGAGGGCAATCAGCTCCTTGACTCAGAGAACGTCGTTAGGCGCTTCCGTGCCAATTTAGTCATCGCCGGAGCAGAACCGCTGGAGGAGGATAATTGGTCGCACTTGATTATCGGCGGCTCTCGGTTCACGGTGAGCGACTGAGAGAAAAACACGTCTTTACCTTTGATCTTTATTTAACGCGCTCCTTCTGCGATGGATCCAAAGGTCACGGGTCAGTGTGGGAGATGCCAGATGATCGGGATAGACCAGGACACCGGGACCAGAACCAAAGAGCCGCTCCTTAGTCTGTCCGCCTGCCGGACCGGGAAGGTGGGTCAGCACCAGCTGGTGCTCGGTCCTGGACAAGCTGTTTGGTAAATTAATGTTTCTGTTCCTTTTAGGTAACGTTTGGTGTGTACCTGACCCATCACGGTCCAGAGGGTTCTGCTGCAGCCCGGGTTCTGTCTGTCGGTTCCCTGGTTCAGCCCGACACGCCCTCCTGGACTGATTCTGATGACAGCAGAGGTCCCGGGCGGCCATCTTGAGTTGTACAGACTTTAAAAGTTCTGTTGACGTCGATCCAATGATTAATTTCTCTGTTTCATTCAAATCTGTCCAGTGGGTCATGAGATATTTTGCTAACAGACGGATGAACTCACACAAACATTATCGCCAACATTTTACCTTTCAGCTGCAGACGATACAATCAAGTCCTGTAAAATCATTTTTATGTACTTAACACAAATAAACATCTTATATGTAAAATGTTTTTAATTGGCTTGTTTCATGTAAACGATTAATATTTAAATGAGTTTGTATTGCGTCGTGCAACAACTGCTTTCTATGCTGATGACATGAAGCTCTTTGTTTATTTATCGGTACTGGTTACAATCAAATTATTTAGCTTCTAAGTTTTTTATTGTAGCTTCAACGTTTGTAAAATTATTTAATGAGATGCTGAACAACAGACAGCTGATTATTTCTGATGATGCGTTTTAATGACAGCCGAAAACGTTCTCGGCTGAAGAAATTACATTTTGTGTAAAAATGCTGAGGCCTGAACAGCTGCTGAAATTTGTTGAAGCTGAAACAGAATTAAAGCTAAAAGAAGCAGGACAGTAGCTTAAAGATAAAAGAAGCAGAAAATTATCTTCAAGCTAAAAGAAGCAGAAAATTATCTTCAAGCTAAAAGAAGCAGAACATTAGCTTAAAGATAAAAGAAGCAGAAGATTAGCTTAAAGATAAAAGAAGCAGAATTAGCTTCAAGCTAAAAGAAGCAGAAGATTAGCTTAAAGATAAAAGAAGCAGAATATTAGCCTAAAGATAAAAGAAACAGAACATTACCTAAACACAAAGTAGCAGAAGGCTAGCTAAAAAGCATAAAAAAGAAAAGTAGATAAAGACTAAGCACAAGGTAAAACATTAAAAGGATAGCAGAAAGCTGAAAAACTAACTACAAGCTAAAAGTAGCAATATATCAGCTAAAAGTAACAGGCTGACTAGAAGCTAAAAGTAGCAAAAAGACAGCTAAAATCTACAAATTCTATCTGAACACTTTAGTTACTTTAGTTTACACTCTAGTTCAAAGACTAAAACTAACAAAAGGCTAACAATAAGCTAAATGTAGCAAAATGCCAGCTAAAAGAAACAAAAGCTAGCTAAAAGTAGCAAAAATCTAGATACTAATTAAAAGTAGTAAGAAGACAAAAATTGAGCCAATTCACAGCAGATTGCAAAGACAATTTTTTTTTATTCAATGAGATGTAAAATATTTTATGGGGGAAATATTTGTAAATAGTTAAAATCTTAAAGCTTCAAAGTTACAAAAATCAAAAGTCAGCGTGGACTGAACTTTATGATTTAATAAAATAGGTTATAGGGTCCTTGAAAATAGCCCAAAGTATAAAGAAGCGGATAGATGTCAAAAACTGTACAGAAAAATAAAGAAAATAAAGTGATAGTGACTCAGCAACTTGATCCACCCTGAGAAGGTGCTATTTATAAGACTGAGCTGAATACAGCGCCTCAGACTCAGGAAGTCTTTCAGATGAGAGACGAAACGTTTCTACATTTTTTGTTTTGCTTTGTTTTATTTTTTGAATGTCCAGAGGACCAGATTTAACTTCTTTTTTAGATTTTTTTTTAACCTGGATTATTGAGCAGCATCAGGATATAGTGACTCAGCGTTCCAACAAAAATAAAAGTAAATCAGTGAAAGAGGCTGTCAATCATCGGCGGGTGCTGTTTAAGGTCGTACAGCTGTAGCGCCTATCGTTCCTCTGATAAACAATAGTTAAAGTTGTGCCACCTTAAAAAAACCATCAACCCTCTGTTCGCGAGCTCGGAGCGAAGTTTGACCAAAGTTCAAATCAAAGTCGAAAACTGACGTTTTGTTTAGGTTGAATACCTGGTTCAACATTGCAGCACGTTTTAGTTGTGGAGCTTTTTTAAGCGTTAAACCATGAAGAGGAGGGTCGTAAAACAAATTAATCCGTCCCCTGACACCAGGGAAACCCGGAGGGCTGCAAAGAAGGAGGGGATGCTGTGAGTTGCTAGGCTAATGCTAACCAATAATACTTTAAAAAGTATTGTTATGCTAATGCTAACTAATAATACTTTAAAATGTGTTGTTATGCTAATGCTAACCAATAATACTTTAAAAAGTATTGTTATGCTAATGCTAACTAATAATACTTTTAAATGTGTTGTTATGCTAATGCTAACTAATAATACTTTTAAATGTGTTGTTATGCT